AGGTCAAAATATGTTTCCTTTGGTTTTCATTATCCATAATGAAACACCTATATCACTTCAAATCAGTTGGGAGTACATATTAACAGGGAACAAGCCAAATAAACTTATTTAAAAGACCCTTTCAATTACATACCCTTCTACTGATTTTCTCTGATCAAGACATTCCAGGTCAGGCTTGATGAGACCCTGAGCAATCTGATCTAACTGAAGATGTCCCTGCTTACTGCAGGGGGGTTGGACTAGATGACCTTTAAAGGTCCCTTCCAACCCAACACATTCTATGATTCTGTGATTCAAGAGCACTCATTCAATCAGCCCAGGGCCTTGGATCCTTCTTCTCAATGCTGCACGTTGACACTTACCTGACAATTGTGAGCCTTGCTGGTTGCTGAACACTTTCAGGTCCTTGGTGGCTTGGACACTGTTTACCTGCAAAGTTATTGAAGATACCTGCGAGGCAATCCCTTTGGAGGAAAGCTTTGTTTTCAAGCTCAATCGTCTCGAAGACATGGGGAGTGTGTCTGGCAAGTATTTTTAAAAAGTTTGGCAGGAAAATCTAGGAAGCCTTTGAGTTGACTCCATCATGTGCCAGAGCAGCAGACCCTGTATCTCTACCACAGAACTCACAAGAACCTCATATAAAGAGTGAAATAATTGGAGAAACTAAAAAAGAGAAAAATAGACTCTAACAATCTATCTTAAGATCTATCTTAAGATCTAACAATAAGTGAGCCATCATACTTTTGTTTCTCACCACTCAATATGGGGAAAAGCTGACAAGACCTATTAAATGTTACAAGGCTCATTTAGAAGAGCCTAGACAATTGTGCAACTACTTGCACAGAGATACAAATTTACCTTATTTATAAACTTTCAAGCGGTCTGCTAAAATCCTTGACTACCACTAAACAGTAAAACACATCTTTTGTCCAAGAGTTTCAAGACATCAGCATATCTCCTATTTCTTCAGTATTCAAGATTAATATTAGATATAGGTGAGAATATACAAACTGAAATAGTTAAGTTGTAGTTACTTACATAAAACATATCGCAATCTCTCAAACTCTGCAAATAATTTAAGATCAAATATTTCTTTCAAAAATTACATCTATAATTTAGTATGGAAGGAAGAATTATATGGCAATTACATGGTTTTAGCAAGGATATCTCCCAATATAGCTTAAAAAACCCATTATCCTACTTTTTCTATAATAGCAGTTGAGGAAGTATGAAACATAACTTTATAAATTTGTTGGATTATTGCAGTGAGAATCTGGTCAGTCGGGACCAAAAGGGGAATCCTGCAATCTTCTCCTGGGTCAGTCTCACACAAATAAAAAGGAAGGCTTTGTTGTGATAAAGCCCACAATTTGGATTACATGACTTGGCCCGTAACTAAAAATAATTTGATTAACAACATGTTAAAAAAAAAAAACCCAAGCTACCTGAAGAACAATGGCAGTTGTTTTGTTTTATTGCTTTGTGTTGTTTTTTTTTAAATATTCTCTGTTTGAAAGTTTGCTCAAGTGTGAAAGTCACTTTTCAATACAGAAAACATGCCAAATCTCAAGTTTTTAAACCATATCCTGAGTTTTTGGTAGAGATTAATTAATTTGAATTAACTATAAGATTAATTAGTTTATATGATGTGTCTATTATACCAGTGATATTTAAGTTTTAAAATTCAGAAATGAATTGACCTTGAGCAGCATATGTACTCAAAATGTGTAATTAAAAATAATATTAATCATTTAATTTTATAAAATGAACAGCTGTTCTAGTTGATTGGAAACAGCTAAAAGTGTAAAATGTATTTTGTGAATGTAAAATTAAAAGTTAATTTTATTATATAGTGCAATTTGCCAACTAGAAATAAATTCTTGAGATGTAAGCAATATATTTTTGTAACGCTCTACCCATACATCAGAAAGGTCACATGTATATTTAAATGCCATATTACTATAAAAGTTTAACGATTTCAATTGAAAAGCTATCATATGATTTAGCTATTTAGAGATGAGTATGAAACAGCTATGATGGCTATGCCCTCTTTTTCCAATGATCTATTTAAAAGCTTTAGAGAGAAATAATGTTTCATTAAATATTTTTTGTATTCTAAGCACTCACTTTTACTTACCTTGTGTCATGAATCCTTAATTTTCTGCCTTTTCTTTTTTTGGTACTATTCCCACAGATTTAAGACTTTAATTAGCATTTGACATCATGAGTTTTCACTTAAATGCATCTCTCCCTCATAACAGGTATTTAATTTTGACCGTATGTATTTTTAACCTGTGCGCTTTCATGCTTTAAAGGTAGTCATTATACAGATATTATACAAGGTGTATAGACATGTCACTGGGTTTTTCTGATATATATATTTTTTTTTTCAATCAGATACCACCACCCCCTTGACATGGTGCAGGCTGGTGACTGCCTGGGCTATGGTCTTTTGCTTAAAACCTAAGTTACTTGCAGGCTCACACTTAAGTGAGTGGTAAAACTCAGTCTTTCAGTTTCAAGTTGTGTCTTGAGGACTGACTAAGAGCCCAAAATAGTCTGGCTAGACCAGGAAACATAGATGCTGGGTAAATTCAGTTTGTCATCCAACTGGAGAAAAATCTTTCCATAACGGTCCCGCTTAGGAATCATTATGCCTATGCTTATTGAGCTATTTTCTGCTGGTTACGTCTGCTCTAACAGCCACAGTTCTCCAGTTCTTAGGCTAAACTTTTTCCAGAAACCATCTAATACCTTGCTTCAGCTCGTGTTAACACTTCATCTTGATCTTGGCACTCACTTAGCAGAGAAAGGCCATCACTGTGTGGCACCATCCAAGTCCGTTATGTAAGTGGACTTTCCATACCCTGTGATACTGTCGTGTCCCCTCTACTGCTACCAACAAAAGCACTTTCCATTGCTGTCCATTTTAAGTAGGTCTGATCCGAACACAGAATTGAAAGACTATTTAATGAAACAAACTCTCTGTTAAGGCAGTCCTGAATTCTGTGACACCACATTCTTATCAAATAAAGGAAGCAGGTTGCCACTGTATGCCATGAAACATTTCAAAAAGCAGAAGCATTACGTTACTCCTGATGACATATTTATATCATATGTCAGTAGTAAGTGGGATGTGCTTTTATTTCAAAGACTTTTTTGACTAAGGACTTCTGGATGAGGTCCATCAGTTATTTCCTCTATTGCTGATGCTCCTTCTGTAACACTCAAAGTACCTTCTACTTAATATCCTTCAACAACACGCTTCTGGAGCCTAAAACTTTGGCAAAAGAATGCTAACCAATGATGCTAAACATATTTCTCACAAGGCTTTCTGTAATAGGACAGGTTATAGAAGATTCTTCAGTAGTACAGAAGATAACTGCCTGCTTATTAATTTAATAAGTTGACACTAAGAATATGGTGTGGGAAATTAATTCAGAATCATAAACATTAAAATATTGTTGAGGAGCTGTGCCACGGTAACTGTCCATTAACTTCTCATTATTTCAGATGTGAGGGTTCTGGTGGTATTGTCTCATCTCATTATGTCCTGAGAGAATAGATTCTTTGCAGTATTTGACACACACACAAACACATCCGTTTCACACGTTCTGTCACTATAAACATTTAGGGAGCTGCTGCTCGTCTTGACGCAGCAGTCCATGGCAAAGTCTACCTCTGTCGTTAGGGTTGTGACAACCGCCACCAGAGGAACCCGTCTGAGGCTGCACGGCTCCAGGTTAGTGCCACTGAAGTCTCGATGGGCACTTTTTATTTGGCTGTCTCATTAGGTAACCAGAAAATAAAGCTGACTTGGTAAAAATATAAGGAGCAAATAACCTACTCTCAATGTTAAAATGCAAAATTTAGCAAATTACTAATCAGCTTCCTAATTTGTTTGTTCTGTGGAAATTTCAGTTAAAATAAGTCAGAGTGAACTTGTTACAGTAAAAAAGTCATTATTTTACAAGAAATTTGCCAAAATGAATGTAAGCCCAAACTCATGCTTTCGTGATGCCTGATGAGACATAAGGAACCTAAAAGCTGTCACTGCCTACCAACTAATTTTAAACACAATTTAGTGCCAAGTACCTTCCCCTGTGCAGGACAGGGACTGCCATTTTGTCACACTAGGAGGGTAACAAACATCTGACCCTTAAATTCTTCCATTTTACAGAAAGTTAACATGCGGGAAGCACATTTTGGCTGTGCCGTGCCAAAATCGGGCCAGGAATGGCTGGTGGCCACTGGGCCCGTGGCCTGGACATCTCTGAGACGGGGCGTTACTAACTTTGACACCTCTGCCCCAATGTACATCTCGGTCTGTAAGGCTGGACCTGCCCGTTCACTCCCAGGCCTGGCACCACCTTCCTCTTTCCCCTCACGGCTCCATGTGTAGGAAAGGAAATGACAGGATTAACCGAAAAACACCGGACCAACCAAACCAAAACAACCGAAACCCAAACCAACAGGCCAACATCGCTCCGAAGAAGGGATTATAAAGGCGTTTACCATGAGCAGCTCCCAGGTCACGGTGCGCCGAGCTCCGCTTGACCCCGGCGAGGCGGCTGGACCCGGCCCTGCCCGCCGCCGCCTCAGCGGGAAATGGCGGGAAGGCGGCGGGGGAGCCCGGGGAGGCCGATGGAATGAAACCCACGCGGCGGGACCCCCCCCTGCGTGACCCCACAGTGTTAACGTGTTTATTTCACGCTGCAGCCGCGGGTCGCTTTACAGAAACATCTCATGCTGGAGCCCCGCACGGGGCCGAGGAGGAGGAGGAGAGAAACACTTGTATTCAAACAGAATTATTAAATAACCTGTACACAAAACTTCAGTCTTTTCCCCTGAAAGCACCGAAGGCTGAGCCCCGGCACGGCCCGACCGACGCTGCCGCTCCGCCTCCGGGCGCCCGCAAGCCCCGACCCCCGCGGCGGCGGCC